TATAGTTTTTATAACATTAAAAAAAATAAAATTTTGAAAGCAAAAAATAATTTTTAAAAACTTGTATGTGTTTTTGAAATTTAGTTAAAAATCAAAATATATTTGGTAAAAAATTACTAGTGAAATTGTAAAAAACAAGTATAATTTCTAAAAATAGAAAACTAGAACAAAATGATTATCAAGTGGTCTCTTAATTTTATATTTCTATTTTTCCATTTTATGGATAATATATCACGGAGATTTAAAAACTTTCGAACCTAGCTATAAGGAAGTTACTAATTTTCTTAATTATCGAGCTAAATATTGACAATCATAAGTTGAATTTCTATTACTACCCCGTTTTTTTCTTTGATGTCAAACAAGAAGTGGGAGTGTCGAGAGTTTGAAACTCCGATTTTCTAAAGAAGTCAATGTCGGGAATGTGACCAGAATCAACTCACACGGCCAAAAAAAAAGAGAATATCCATAATATATAAGTAATAACAACTATATCTTTTGATACAAGGTCTCTGGACTGAAATTAACCAAAAGCAAACTCTGACATTGTAGAATATGAAGGTGTTTGTTGTCCCCGACAATAATACCTTTGTAACAAGAACGACAAGTCGATAATGAAATATTTTGAAATACATTTATTAAATTGAAAATGTATTTCAAACACGAGGATACCAAGGTTTTAAATGTCGAGGAAATATCAGTAAAATGTAGATGTACATGAATATTTTTTAAAAACCAATAAAATCCAAGAAATTCATAATACATACATATATATAAATGAACTAAAGAACCTTTCATAAAAATCTATTCTTTTTTAATTTTTAATTTTTTATAATTAGGGGTTGGAACTTTTATTTCCCTAAAAATTTAAAAATTCTTATGTTAATATCAGTAATATTATGTTGACGTTTTTTCACAAATATCGAATCATCTCTTATGTTAATATCAAACTCAGTATACATGGAAAAACATACCCAAGGAGGAGACTAAAGAAAAAAAAATAATCAAACACATTTATTTGCTTTTTTTTTTTAATTTAAGATTTGTTTATTTTTGGGTGGGGGGTTGGGAGAGGGCACGTCTTGGTGTCGCAGCCGTAAGACAATAGGTACAGTAGGGGATGGTTATAGGGTCGGTGGACCTTTTCTAGGGCGGTTCCTGTGGGTCCCACATGTCCCTTATTTTATTTTTTTATTTCTTAATTTTTTATTTCAACTTTTATTTATTTATTTATTTTTTGTTGGGCGAATAGACTTTCGCTATTAATTTTCTGTTGTTTTGCTTCGGTGATATTTCGGTTTAATGGTTTCAATTTTTTTTTCTAAATTTATTCTTGAATTCTATAATTCAAATGGGTAAAATTTTGAAATCAATATTTTTATATTTTTAGTCATTAAAATTTTGAAATCAATATTTTTATATTTCCAGAGAGTTTAAAATTTAAAATTTTAAAATGTAAGGAAAAATTAAAACTGCATGACGAGATTGTTTAATACATCATACATTAATGTTTCTTTATGATTATTAATTATTATATTTGTGAGGTAAAAGTAAAAGTAATCAAACGCTAATTGCTAATTAAAGTCGTGCAAAACAATTTTTTGTTTTTAAATAAAACTAATTTTAAACCCATATGAGATTTTTTTTTTTGGGAAAGATATTATTAAAGGTTGTTTTAGGAAAAAATGAAAAGGAAAAAAATTCGAAATAGTACGTTGTACTTCTTTTTATTATTGTCTAAATAAATTGTCCTTGCGATGACTTGATTCGTTCAAGTCTCTAACACAACCAAACGTCAATCTTAATGATTATCTTAACATCTCATGTGACTTGTTATGTTATGATTAAAGTGACAAAGTTACTCAAACAATGAAATGAACGTCTTTTAATTTGCTCGACTGTGATAGAGCCAAGAATCAATATCTCAATCAAATGCTTTCCTAGTATACCACACTAATTAAGGGTCGGCCTTGTGTATAACCTCCAACCTCTCTTCGAGTTAGACGTAAACTAACATATTTGCATACGACGATTATAACACTTTATTTATATTATCCAAGTAGTCAATATACTTCTTTTTATTATTGTCTCAATAAAGTGTGTCTTGGTATAACCATATAAGGACTTGATTCACTCGCGTGTCAAACATAGCCAAGCGATTAATATCTCATGTGACTTGTCATGAGACGACAAACTTGCTCAAACAATGAGATGAACATCTTTTGTTTGGTTATGGTAGAGCCAAGAATCAATATCTCAACCAAATACTATGGCCCAACACATACCACACCTAATTAAGGGCGGGGCTTGCATGTCATCTTTCTTCGGTTTAGACACAAACTAACATATTTGCGACAACAACTAATAACACACCTTATGTGTGCATCGTCCAAGTAATTAATGTACTTCTTTTTATTATTGTTTAAATAAATTGTCCTAGTATAACAATGTAATGGCTTGATTCACTCAAGTGTCTAACATAGCCAAATGACAAATTCCGATGATTGCCTCAGCATCTCATGTGACTTGTCATGTGATGTCTAAAGTCACAAACTTTCTCAAACAATATGAAAGCTCTCTACTCGGCTATGGTAGAGCCAAGAATCAATATCTCAGCCAAATGTCACCCCAACAATATGCCACATTAATTGAAGGCCGACCTTGTGTACATATAACATTTCTCTTTTTAACTCAGACACAAACTAACATAAGCAATGACTATACAACATCTTATGTATTCATCACCCAAGCAGCTAAAAGAAACTCTCGGATGCATGCATTTGATCTAATCTACGAGCAACTTATATAGTTTTTAGTAGAAGATTTGACAACGATCATGTCGTGGTATAACCATAGAAAATATCCCTATAAATATATCACTTCCCCTTTGAGATTGCACATCTTCCTAATTTGACATATACACCATGGTCTTGTCCTTATTTATTATGTGTAGAATTAAACATCGTCAAATAATTATAACTTCTTAACCTTGTTTAAAATAAGTATGAGTTACTTTTTGTCAATCAGCATTACTCATTGTTACCATGATATAGATTTTTAACCCAATTATATATTATCCAATAGGGTATATATCTTTTCACAATAATTGCTATAAATTTTCATAAATCCTATTGTTTTACACAATAATTATTAGAGAGTATTGCACTTAAATTATGGTGAATATTTTAGTAATTTTTTTATTACTCTTCATATTATTTTTTTTTCTAATTATCAAACATCTCACATATGCCTTATTCACCCATAATTATGCATAATCTTATATTTAAAATTAACACATTAAATTAAAAAGTATTATTTTTTAAATATGACACAACTAATTAAGTTGAAGATGCACTCTTCTTATTCGTTTCAAATAAATGAAGAGTTCACTCAAGACTTTTTGATTTTTTTTTCTCTCCGTGACTTGTTAGGTTACTAATAAAGTTATATATATATATACACTTTAATTTTGAAAATAGAAATAATCTAAATCTGTTGATGTATACATTTCGTTGTCTAGAATTATAATTTGGATGATTCCAATTTTTTCTTGTTTCAAGAACAATAGTATAATAAAGGTTATATCCAAATCAATGGGTGATATCTAAAATAATCTAGATAAAGACCTAATTCAATCCTATTTCAAATTGTTTCCTTAGGATTTAAGGACAATGTTTTTAGGGTTCCTTTTTTTCTTTTTCTTTTTTTTTTAACACTTTTTGGGAGCAAAAGTCAATAAAATTACAGTTCTACCCAAACTTAAAAGTCCTTGTCCAATTAAGAAAAAGAGGGGAACATGAAGGCAAATTTAGCAAGTTGGTAATATAAAATATTCAAAGATTTGATTCCCCAAAAGGGAAAAAGGTGATAGCTAGAAAATTTCATGTCTTTTTTTTTTCTTTTTGAGTTTTTGTCTCTAAACAAATTATAGTAAAAAAAAAAAAAAGAAAACCCACATTTTTATTGATCAATAACTTAATTCATATTTTGTTAACTTTTATATATATAGTACAACAGGATCGAGATATATTTAAACTTTTATATTTATTTTAGGTAAATTCTTAGACTTTCAAACCTTATATACTTAAGTTCCTTAAACTTTATAGGAAATTAATTTCTATATGATGCATATGACTTATTGTGAGATCATCTAGACTTAGACGATACTATAAAAAAAATTATTAAAAAAAAAGACAAAAATGATTGTTTATAAAATTTTAGAGACACATTTATAGTATTTCGAAATATAATGATCAAAGTAAAATAAGTGCCAAAAAAGTTTAGAGGTTTAAAGAAATCTTTAAACTTCAATCTTCAATTTTAGTTTCTTTGTCTGGAAAGAAAAAGAAAAAGCATATAAATTTAAATTTGAGACACGTCGCCATAAAATAAAAGAATAAAACAAAAATATATGCGAATCCTTTCATTGGAGATTGAGAGATCAATTTCATACTATTAATTTTTCTCAAAAAAAAAAAAAGAAAAAATTGATACTATTAATTTAGCAATTAAATTTGTTCTCACACAAAATTCTATGGTTATTTTCTATAATAAATATAAACAAAAGATGTGTTAAAAATAATTTTAATCAATAAACACTTGAATATATAATCTACAAGTAAATTCAAAATCATATCGAAACTAAGATGAAAAACGTTAAATTTTTTTCGAGATAACCAACCAGACACACAGATAATTAACAACTCACAATTCAATATGCATTATATGATTAAAATATATTCAAATTACAACTAAAAGAAAGAATCCCACCTCATATATATATAAAAAGAAAAAGTAATATTATACACAAAGATGACAAGATAAACCATAAGAATAGAAAAATGGTCACAATTTGAACTCCTCTCATCATTCCAAGGAGGTACTTAATTAAGATGAGAAACCCTACAAGGGCATGGCCAAACCTTAAAATATACAAAAACCACATATTTTTATGTAGGGATAATTACAAATTACACCCCTATTTAGGCAAAATAGGGGTGTAATTTGCAATTATCGTTTATATTTATTAATCAAAATGCATAAAGATTTCACACCCCTATCAACATATATATATAAGAATCTCTTTGTGATGAGATCAAATTATAAGGATATATGATAAATGGGAAAATTTACTTGTATTCTCCTCCTTTGTCATGGCCATCTCCACAAGGGCCATTGTTGTTACTCCATGGAGAAAAGTAGAGACCAGAATAGTAGTGGCCATAGCTAGAGGTGGAGGAGCTTCCCTCATGGTTCGTAGACGACGACCTCCGAGCGTATTGTGAGGACGACGACGGGGACGGGGACGGAGCAGGGATTTCATTGCAGGCATAGCGGATGAGATTCGCATTGGTGGCGTCGAGTTCTTTCTGGAGCTTGATGACTTGCCTCTGGAGGATGGAGATGGCGCCTACGCAGCCGTAGACGGGGTCTTTCATCCTTGCCTCGGCCTCGTAGGCGAGCGAGTTCACGGCGTCCTCGCGTTGGTGTGGCTGGACTTCGTTCAGCAGCTTGCTGACATTGCTGGCGCCGAAGATCTTGTGGACGTTGGCAAACTTCTGCGGCTCCTCGGGCGGGAAGTACGGGGCAAAAACGCAGTCCGGTAGGCATTTTCGCCGGAGGAACTTGCAGGCTGCGCAGGGAGAATTGGAGTAGGTGGAAGAAGCCATCTTCCTACCAAGAAAAAAAAAAGCATGAGAAACAAAGAAGAGGAACAAATATAACAAAAAATATGTAAGAAATAAAGATGTTCTGGAGCTTTAGTGAAATTGGGGTGTGTAAAAATTGAACCTTTGAAGAATTGGAGGCTAAATTTTGAAGATTTTGTAGGTCTAGAGAGAGAAAGAGAAGAGAGAGAAGATAGGGAGTAGTTTGAGACCAGGAATCATGGTTTAAATATTAAGGTTGTTGCTGAAAAAACCACACACACACTGCTGAATTCTCTCTTCTTACAGCTATGCGACAACCTTAAATTTGTACCCTTTTTTTTGGTCTGTCAGAGCCGTCTGTGTTACTCTTAGGATTTATTTTTTCTTCTAAATTTTGCATTTTCGGTATCTCGTAAGGTCTCTAAATACACACCCTTTATTGTATTTCTTACACACACACAACATAAAATCTTTTAGGGTTTTTTCTCAGCTCGTGATTTTCATATGGGTCTCTTCGTATAGATTGTTCGAGTTCGAACAATCTATACTAAAAAATAGGTCATAGAAACACAAATTTACGTAATCTTTATTTGATTGGTAAAAAGTTACTATGTAGTATAAAAGGTAGGGTTTTTATATACACATATATAAGACGAGATATTTATGAAGTTACGGTAAGACCTAACAAAGTCATAAATAGGAAAAAGTAAAATCACATATCAAATACAAGCTTAACTTTTTAATCCCGAGATATACACATCTTTAGCTATAATCTAAGCATAACTGATTAGCAGATATATAAGACACTTATTACCCATCTTAAAGATCGTTAGTTTTCGATATCCGACCCACTTACTTTAATTTTAACCCAACAAGACAAACAACCCTTAGAAGAATCTTGGTTTAAATAGTTCAATGTATGTGTATCATTGGTTGATATCTCTCTTGACGCAAACCTTATTCATCATGTTTTAGAACTAGCTAGGAATATATAAGTCTATTTGATAACGTTCAGGTTTCTTGTTCGCTATAGATTCAAAAATGATAAAACAAGATTTTAATTTATGTTGGAATAAATTGGAAACTCGAGAACATAGGCAAAAAACTTGTTTGGGTTGTTTATAGAATTTCTATATAATTTTAAGAATGTTTCTAAGAAACAACCTAAATAACTATCAAATGCTTAGATTATTTCTTAATAAAATTAGAAACGTGAAATAAGAAACGTACGTGAATGTTACCAAACGAATCTAGATATATATACTTCCAATTATATATTGCTCTACATGATTTGTTTTGAAATTTAGAGAGAGAGAGAGAGAGAGAGAGGAAGGAAAGAAAAGATAGGTTTTAATTTCCCTGTTGAGAGGTGAGGGTTTTCTCCATAAAATTTGGTAGAAGGTCACTGGCCTCTTCCTAATGCATGTCTGTTGTCCCTAAGTGTGAAACTTGCCCTTTCTCTCTCCTCCCCTTACCTCTTTGTCTCTCTCTCTATTTTCTCTCTCCTACACACAAATTGCCCTCTAAAAGGGTAACCTGCCCTATATCTTCTCTCTACACACACCAACACAATCTCTCTCTCTCTCTTTTTTCTATGCATATATTTCACTTCTCATAATCAAAACAGCAAAGAAATTCCCAAAAAAACAAGAAAAAAAGGAACAATACCAAGCATTTAACTGAGATCTAGAGAGATGATGAGAAAAAAATTGATTTCAAGAGAGAGAGAGAGAGAGAAAAAGGCTAATTACCAATAATTTTTTCTCCTTTCTGTAAGCTGTTTCAACATCTCTTGTATGAAAATCTTAAGGAAAATGAAGTTGAAGCCATAGAGGGGAGAGAGAGAGAAGAGAGAGAGAAGAGAGAGAAAAGCAACAAACTTTATTACTGGGATATCCCTAAATAATGTACATGTGAGAGAGAGAGAAATAAAAACCCTAATTGGGTGATAATAAAGGAAAGAAAAAACCTGCAGAAACAGTGATGAGAGCAAATGGAATTTTTTTTTCCTCACTTTTGAAAGAAAATTGAGAAAGCAAAAAAGAGAGAGAGGGAGAAAAAAGGGATAATAAATAATTTAAGGGACATAAAGATGAAAGATGAAAAAGACAGTCTTGAGTCCTTTTAATAATGTCAATGTCTCTGTTGAAGAACTTGACATATAAGAAGCAGCAATTTTCTTTTTCCTTTTGTTGTTGGGAAAATATTGTCCTAAAACATCATTCTCCGACATGTGTTACAACCCTTTTTAAATTATAAATATATAATGAATTGGAAGAGTTACTCCATTAGATCTTTACGATGAATCTAACTTAGCCGATCCAGGTATTACTTACAGCTTATTAAAAGGTGAAGGTTCGAATTCTCCGACTTCTTTATTGAACTTTAAAGAAGACATGTTTATGTATAGTTTAGGGAAGTTAATTAAATAATTAAGATTTGTCCCAAATTTTTTAAGCATGGTATTTGCGGGCTAAGCTTATAAATATGGTGGAGTAACGATTGCTCGAACTTCCTAAACAAAGCACTACAAGAAATTAGACTTTCAACGAGGTGTGAACATCGTCGTAAAAAAGATCAAACTGGTATCTAGTTCTTCACTTGCAAAACTCGAGTTTTAACAACTACATTTATAACTTAACTTGAAAATTGATTAGAAAATTATAATAATATGCAAGAACTATTAATATATAATTCCTCTTATTTACGATGAGTCAAAGTTGCGTTGGTATTTATATATAATTTTTTTTATCAAGATTTTGACTAAGTTCGTGGAGCTCCGATTCTGGCTGGACTGACTCTCCGAATGAGCTAAGGTGATAGCAAGTAGAGAGACCTACATAAAAGAGAGTGAGCATTCTGACACTCAAGTCGGTAGTTTGGTCGATCTAAACTCGAGAGAGACTATAGTTTCGTGTACTTGAAAATGAGACAGATCAAAAGGTCATTATTTATAGTCGAAGCTTCCAACAAAGGCTCCAACAACTTCCTAACATTCTAAGAATCGCAGCGTGTTGTCGTAGATTATGTCGAAATTATGTGCCTGCAGAAGTACATGTTGATCGACTCAGTTGATAACTCAGGCATCCAATGTACCAGATTTGGGCTCAGCTCAACTGATAGCTCAAGTGGTCGAGACGTGAGACCTGATCGACTTGGCATGGAACATGGGTCACGACCGTCTCCAGTAGTTCTCGGTTCAGCCTCTTACAAAGGTCTGAACTGTAATCTCCTCCATGTGTGGATCTTCATACTGACCCATCATTATTGAGCATATCACATGTCGACATGTGACGGTAAAGAAATCACCTCCAACATAATTAATTACTATTCTCAACGGTTGACCCTATTTTTTTAACCTCACAAATTGCTTAAGTTAGTGGGTGATTTGATTTCTACCCATCATTGAAATTGAAATGAATAATTTTCATTTTAGTAATTTATATATATATTGTTTTTTTTTTTGAGAAAAGATATATATATATATATATATGCACTTTAAGTATATTTGGAATATGAGGAATTATATATGAAAATGCATTAAAAAAAATATATGGGGAACCTATTCGCAAAACCTATTTTTGTTCTCTAACCTATTAGATCATACTATGTAGTTCTATTAATCTAGTACTTATTTGAGACATGTGAGTTTAAAGGAAAAAAAGAAAAAGAAAAAAAGATCATAGATTCTAAGTTCTAATCAACCAATCATTTTTTTAGTACTCTCACATAATTAATATCTATGTTGTAACGATAAATGACATTTTAATTACAATCATATGTGGATCGGAATAATAATATAATATATATGTGTGTATATATATAGAGAGATAGATAACATTTAAATTGTAATAGATATGGACCGTTAAAGTTATCTACAATTTAAAGTAAACTTGATATAGAAACAACACACACAACCGTTCTAATCTTTTGACAATTGTAATTTATTTTAGCGTAAATCAAAATATGTAAAACTAGAGTCAATTAATAATATCTTGTATCACTCTTGGGTTAAAGCTTCGTTATTAAATAGGACAAAATATATTTTTGGTCCCTGAGGTGTGAGGTAGGTGTCTAATTGGTCCCTGAAGTTTCAGAATGTACACTTTTGGTCCTTGAGGTTTAAATTAGGTGTCAACTTGGTCCCTGAAGTTTGAGAAATAGTTCTAAATGGTCCCTAATTTTTTTTTACTGTTATTAACTAATATTAACTAATATTAAAATGACATGGCAAATTGCAATTAAATTGTTTATTGTTGTTGGTGATGTGGCAATTTATATTAATTAAATTAATTAATATAATTTGTCAGGTCAGCAATACAATAAATAATTTAATTGGTTAATTAACAGTAAAAAAAATCAGGGACCATTTAGAACTATTTCTCAAATTAGGGACTCATTTGAAAACTTGAGGGACCAAGTTGACACATAATTTAAACCTTAAGGACCAAACATGTTCATTTTGAAACTTTAGAGACCAGTAGACACCTATCTCAAACCTCAGGGACCAAAAACGTATTTTGCCCTATAAAATAAATATATCGAAATTAGCAACAAAAGAAATATTTACTCGTATATTTATAGCAATTCTTTATATATCAATATTATATAAAGTACATCTATTTTTTCAATTGTCTCGCCTATATATAATTAAGAGAAATAGGAACAAATGACCATGGTAGCCTTTTAATATTCTATAATTAGTCCCGCTTATATATCTAAATTTAGAAAACAATAATTTTTAATTTGAAACAAAAAAGAAATGATACGATATAGAAAGCTAGGATTTGAAACTAAAACACCTTTTATTTTCTCTTTCAATATTTTTCAACATTTTATACTGAATTGCTACAAAGTCCAAGAAAATAAATAGACAGAGAAATGCAAGATTTTAAATGCCGATGAAAATATCGAGACCTCAATTTCATGGAGATATCGATAAAAATATTATGTATATATTAGTGACATTTTGTTAATATTTTTCATATTTTGTCGATTTTTTTATACAATAATAGAAATGTTGATTTATCTCTCATGTCGAAGTCGAACTCATGAAAACATAGACATATCGATGGAAATGTCGACGTATCGATGGATATTTAGAACCATGGAAAAATGTTGCGAAATTTACATCTTATTGTTCTTATTCGACTTAGTCTTAGACTTCTCCTTTTGAAATTGAACCAAACATATTTATTAATTAAACTTCATAACCGAAGATATTAGTAAGTAACTTTGGTCACTTGATTAATTAATTTTTAATTTCAAGCGAGAGACTTATATATGAAGATCTTCTAAATTAAGTTAGCCAATCAATAAAATTAAACAAATCATGATATTAAGATTCCTGCCGAAAGGCAAAAAGGGTATAATATTAACTAGATTTCAATATAATGGAGTGGAGAATTTCAATGATTGATTTTAATTTTTCCTTTTCTTTCTTTTTAATTTTTTTTGTTATTATTTTTGTTATTATTTTTTTTTAGTTTTGTCGTTGGCAAAGGATAATACTTTAGGATTCTCTTCTCTGCAGCCTTTTGTTAATGATCCATATTTATCAACATATATTTAATATAATTAGATATGCACAAATAATTCTAATTCTTATTATTTAATTAAATTGGTGCTTCCTTTTAATCATTAATTTGTCGGTTAATATATTTTTTTCATTTAAAAAAAAGATCATTTGATTTTCAACCCAAATCATGTGCATGCATGATTGTACAATATTAAAGCTCCATAGATATAATTCATAAATATATAATTTGGATTCAAGTCATGATGTGCTTTCATGATTGTACATTGAATCTCTCTCTCTCTCTCTTATTTTCTTTCTCTATTTTCTTTTATTTGTTTTTTTTCCTTTGATTTCGCAGAATGGATGTCGTGTGGCTTACGTTAATAGATTCATATAATCGAGACTCATTATCTAGATTGAGCAACACAGTAACTAATGTAGGACTCGAACACAAGGTCCCCTCCTAGCTAATTATAGGTGATATGCATAATAAGACTCCATATCTTTATCACGCCATTCTCAAGGAACTCATTTGTTTTATATTAATGAAAGAATTTCTCTCTAACTTATCATTGATATATAGTTTAAGATTGAAATTATATTTTTGTCTCTTAGCTTTTTGGTTCTCATATATCACAAAGTATTCTCTAGGTTGGTTCATCTTGAATTTAACATAGAATTAATTAGGATTATGATACATTTTCTCAATTTTTCATGGCTAATTTTTTCAATTGTCTCTTTGATTACTAAATGTTGAAAGAATGAGGATGTGTTTTAAATGCTATGAGATTTTAATGGCAACATAATTTCCTAATGGGTATTTGTGAAAGTACAAAAATGACCAAAAGCCTATAATATATTCCAAAGAATAAGAGTACTATAACATTATTCATATAAATAAAAATGATATATCTATTGTTGTGTGATTTAAATGAAGAACGACTAGCAGATTATAATGTGCATCGAATTAGTACGAGTCTAAAAATTGGTAAGAATTTTAATTTAGTGAAGAGAGCACACACACCACCTAGATATAGAAACCTTCACAACGAACGTGCTCAAACATCTAGTGAGACTAAGACATGTGGTTTCACTCGGGAGCCACGAAAACATGGGCTTTCGCGTCTCACCTCATAGCTTTGATCTTGGTGATCTTCTATGTATCATCTCGTAGCTTATATGATCTCACTTGATCGAGCTAATGCTTGGTTCATCTCACTCATATTATGGTATGGACTTTTGAATCTCACCTTATATATATAGCTTTAGGACTTTTAAGTCTTACTATATAGCGTCTTATGGTTTCGCTCGGTGGAGCTCTAATCCCACAGGCCTCCTCTATCGGTTTCCAAAATCTTACCTTTGTAGTTTTTGCTTTGAGCTTCTAGATCTTACCTCATAGCTTAGTTACTAAATATTTAACAATATACACGCTTGTACAACTAAAATTCATAATGGCAGTATTCTGCGTAAATTACCTTTAATTTTAAAAAACTTTACCTGCAATACTATCTAAACCTCTAATTTTAACCCTCCACGTTAAACTAAGAATTTTTAGGGATAATATTTTTGTATTATATAAAATAATATTAAAAAATTATTCTCAAACAAGTTATTATTATAAATATTCTTGAACTCATCCATCTCTTCAAACAATAATATACAATATATGTGTGTGATTTCAACTTGCTTACTCAGACCATGCTATTTTTGGAAATATTCTTTATTACTTAAATTAGAACTCTTAATTTTCCAAGATAAAAAATTTGTGAAATGTTAGGCATTGCTTTAGCCTTTTTATTTATTTTTCTATAATTATCTTTTAACTTTTGTCACGAAGAAAGTAGTAAAATAAGTATATGCTTCTGTGGGCGTGTGAATGGAGAAATATAAATAATTATATTAATATTTTATGTATGAGTCAGACTGCATTTAAACAAATTAAAGGAAACAGAACAGATGCAAAGAATTATATTCTTTTTTTTTTTTTTTTTTGTGCTTTGGAGGATTAAAGTAAAAAAAAATGTGTAAGATTCCCTAATCATTAGAGGTGCAATAATTGGATGGTTGCATTATATTTACTATTTGATCTATTAAGTACATAAATAATATATGTATCATTAAAAGAATGTTAAAATACTACATAAATAATATATGTACGATTAAAATAATGTTAAAATACTAGTTTGATCCTTGTACTTTTGACTTTGATTCGTTTTAGTTCTTATACTTTTAAAATGTTCGTTTTGATCCCTGTACTTTCTACCTTGGTTCATCGTTCATTTCACTCATTGTACTTTGAAAATGTTATTCTGGTCCCTGTATTTTTAAAAAGTGACAATTTTTGTCATTTCATTTTATTTTAAATCTGATTTTTTCTATCATAATTTCAACACCACAATATGATCAATATATTTCTTACAACGTAAATATTACTTTATACTAAATAGTTTCCGTTATGTGTAAATTTGTGTTAAAATCTTACGAAGATGGACTAAAATGATCACTTTTTAAAAGTACAGGGACAAAAATGAACATTTTCAAAGTACAAAGACTAAAATGAACCAAAGTTAAAAGTATAGAGACCAAAATAAACAATTTCAAATTACATGGACTAGAATGAACCAATGCTAAAAATACAATGACCAAAATAGTATTTTAACCTTAAAAGAATATATAATATTGTATGGATTCTTTTTTTTAGTTCGAACAGTTAGCAAGATGGGAATCGAATCATCAAAGTTTGGACATTATTTGGACATTATAATAGTGTCTTAGCTATTTGAGTTATGTTGGAATTGACATTTTTTATGGATTTATTCATCTCATCGTTTGATACAATTCATTTCATAAAGTATGTTCATTGATTAGATAGACCATTAATTATCCTCATATGAACCCTAAGACAAGTGTTTTTTTAATATGTATATATGTCTGTGTCGTGCATTGGATCTATTAAAATATTAATATGAACATGCTTTGTATAATATCTCAAATTTGAAGTGAGCCCATATTTGGTTTTGATAAATGTAACTCGTTTTATTTGAAATATTTTACTTTTGTCAAATAGTTTGATTTAGGGGTTGGGGCAAAATTTTACCTTTACATATAATCTTTCAGTTAATTCTAAAAAATTTTACCTTTACAAAAGTATTAATCCGCTATTCAGTACGTCTTGGCTAGAACAATCGTCATGTTCATACTAGCTTACTTTTTTTTAATCCTAAAGTAGCATAAAAAAATCCATTATTATGATTCCTTCGCATATAAATTTCTTATCATATGTGTAATAAGTTGCACTTTCATCGACTCTCTTTCACTTTATATGAAAGAGATTATTGAAATTCGTTTATTTTTTTAAGTTCAAAATACGTGGAGAGTGGGAATTCAAACCTCTGGCCTCTTAATTGATTATATATATTCTAACTAGTTGAAATATACTTAGGTTAGGGGGATTATTGAGGGTCTGTTTGGTAACGCTCTTGTTTTATATTTTTGTTTCCTCATTTTTAATAAATAAAAATAGAATTGCATGGCTCCCAATACGTATGGATTCAAGAACTATAAAACCTTGGTTTGAAACAAAATTGGAAACGGGAACAAGAAACTTGTTTTTCTTGTTTTCAAAATTTCTATACAATTTTGAAAATGCTTCTAAAAAATGATAAATAAGAAACATAAATAATTATCAGCCTAGGTTTCAATTCGAAGACCAAAAAACAAACTGAAACACAACGTTACCAAACAGGTCTTAAAATTCTATAAATGATATTATTGGTTGTTTGGCAAACCACAATGATCTTAATGTACGTGGTTTGCATCTACTATTGATATACATCGGTGAACAAAATAATAAGTATCAAATAACACATGATTTATAACTGAGTTAATTAGAAGAGAACGAGTTCAAACCTCATGATCACTAACTACCTTCAAAATTAGTAATTCCTATATTTCCCAACACCAAATGTTGTAGGGATGAAGCGGTTGCCAAAAATACTGGAAGAGGTTAATTTTCACTCTACTGAAATATTTTAGCCAACCTTAGACTTTCAATTTTATCCATTTAATTAACTCTAAATTTGAAAAAGTGTTAACCAGCTAAATGGCTTTTCCCAAACTAAATTTGAAAATTCTCCATAATCCAATTAATAATTTATAAAAAAAAATTTAACTAATAAGATATCTAAAATCATATCTAAAGAAATACACTGAACTCAATCATGAAAATACTCGAACCTAACCATAAAGTCAAGCAAATAAAAACCGTGAAACTTAGCAACAATATACTCAATTCCAACTAATTAAAAATATTCAAATGCCATTAGAATAATCAGTACCTAGTGTTGGAAGGCATTCTCACCCTTATACGTGGCTTATGTTGGTTGGATCCCTCACAGTATACGTGGCAGATGTCGTTTATCTCCAAGTTTAATCACTTCGGTCACATGCATGTGCCTGAGGTCGAGGTTTTGCATCGCCGAGTCGACCTAAGCTCCTTCGGGTTAGCTCTTATCCATTTAGCTTAACTGTTTAACTTCACCTCGGCTCAGTCCCAGATTCTGACAGACTCCACGACAACCTGTATGGTTCATGGCAACCTTAAAGAGTCGTTGAGGTGCTGTTGGGACGGTTGTCGGGGGAAATCGCCTATAAATAGACCCATTCACTCCCTCTCACAGGTATGCGAACAATCTGATTCTCTCCCTAGAGTTGATTTGGATATTAGGGCTCGTTTGGTAACGTTCCCGTTTCTTGCTTCTCATTTCCAATTTTATTAAGAAATTTAAGTATTTTAGAACTACCTTTGTTTATTGTTTCTCCTTTTTTGGGAACATTCTCATAATTGTATAGAAATTTTTGGAACAAACAAAGCAAGTTTCTCTTTTTTGGTTCTCATTTTCAATTTGTTCCAAAACATAAATAAAAATATTGTTTTATCGTACTTGAATTTTTGGAGGTTGAAATCATGCAACACATTTTTCTTCATTAAGAATAAAGAAATAGAAACAAGAAACATGAACGTTACCAAACGAGTCTTGGCATTGAAGTACTCACTCTGTTTTGCATGTCTTCTGCGTGTTTTCCGAAACTCATCTTCCAGCTCATCTTAACTGATCCGACGTTCGCGAAGTTGGTCATTTTCCTGATCAAACACCTACAATAATATTAGTCTCATCCAACTACAAGATTACTCCCAAGTTCCTGACTAGTCACATGTCTTTAAAAAAATAGAAACGTATATCTTCAATACCTACAAAATTAGTCTAATCCAAACTCTAAGTGTATTAATTCCACTACTGAAGCGTAGAATCTAATTTACACTACTTATTTAAGTATAAAGTTTAAAGGATAAAATTCAAATTTCAAGGTCGAAATTTACTCAATCATCTCAATAAGGGGTAAAAAAAGGAACTATTCCCAAAAATAGTGGATGAAAAGAGAAGGAAGGTGGAAAAAAAAAGACCCCAGATTTAAATTTTATTTTCATCCACTAATTTTCATAAGTAACCATTTTAATTACCTAATTTTTTAGTTCGAATATATATATATTTTGACATGTCAATTCACACAATATCATAAGGTTATTTTTTTTTTAATACAACATGTAGAGTGGGGGTTCGAATTCATGACGTCTTGATCAGAAATAGACATCTTAACCATTTGAGCTATGTTTGGTTCGGTCATATTGATAAGGTTAATTAGGAAACAATGAGTAGCAAGTGGATTATAAAATGATAACATTATATTAAGAGTAAAGATATTCTTTTAATTCAATTGAAAGTTCAAAGATATTGCATGAGTTCGAATTTTTCCGTTTCAAAACTACGTCGTTTCAACTAGCTTCCTACAGTTTACCGGATTACATTAGTCCTTTACACGACGTCGTTTAAAGTTTTCAAAACCGATACGAGCTCGGTTCCACGTGGTGAAATATGATTGGCCAAAGCAAAAAGGCCGTAGTTTTCCCAAACTGTAAGCAAAATTCAGCTACCCGTCTTCCTCGATTTGGGGCGCCGTGTGACATGCCCGAATCTTTACAACCAAATTTATCGGAGAACCGCGATCCTTGAAGAATTTTCGAAATAGTTTTTCAAATTTCAATTCTGGCGTGGGTAAGCAATTCGATCGCGTTTTTTTATCTTTCATTTTCCTATTCTCAATTCTCATCATTTTTGTTTTCTGTTCTGTTGGTACATTGTTCGTGTCAGGTTAATCTCCCGCAATCAGTCACTCTAAGCTTCGAACTGTGTCGATCACGCTGAGAAAATAGTGCAGAAATTGTTCGAAAATGGCGGGTCTTGAGGAACTAAAGAAGAAGCTTACTCCCTTGTTTGACGCTGAAAAGGGGCTTTCTATGGATTCCACTGTGGACCCTTCTGATTCCTATACGGTAACCTAACCGCACTAAAAATTTCACGAAAGGGTTTTTTTTTTCCTGTTTGTGTGTAATTTGAATGGTTTCTCCCCTTAATGGTTAATAACACAAATAAATGATTAAATATACAGTAACCTACAAACTTTGTACTTCTAGTTGAGTGGAGATTTAATATATAGTATCAGAGTAAGGTCATATGTTTGAACCACTATAACTGCTATAATGTCATCTCTCAGCTGAGTATGAATGAATGATTAAATATATCGTAACCTATCAACTTAAGCTTTAACTAGGTTGAGTGGTGATTTAAAATAGTGTCAGAGTAAGATTTTTGTATGTAAATTTTTGTGATGTGATTTTCTCTCTAAACGATATTGATGGTCACTTGTGAGTCTTGTGCTACTCGTTAAGAATACGAATGAATGATTAAATATACTATAATCTATCAGCTTAAGCTTTTAGGCTGAGTGGTGATTGATATTGGTCCTTGAGAATTTATTTCTTGTTGTTTCTGAAGTTTTCAGATACTGGGACTGTGAATCTGCTGAGCCGATCGTATGGGGTTTACAATATTAATGAGCTAGGGTTACAAAAATGCACATCTAGTGAGAGGACGTATCGATGTGCTTCCCATGAAATGAGAATATTTGGAGCCATTGGTAGTGGTGCTAGCAGTGTTGTTCAGAGAGCTATCCACATTCCTGCTCATCGAATCATGGCATTGAAGAAGATCAATATCTTTGAAAAGGTTTGTGATTTGGTATCTTACTGTTTCTTTGCTGGTTGACTTCTGCTGCCTTTTGGCAATGACTTATGATGAATGTGTTGTAGTCGGATGTGTTGATGATGTCATCTTTGAGATGCATACAGCACATATCCTAGTTTCAATGACTTATGATGAATGTGTTGTAGTATGATGTTTCGAAGTTGTCATCTTTGAGAACGTTTGTGGTCCACAAGCCAGCATAGTTGAAACTTATGATCTTACTAGGAATATCTTTATGCTCTTGGTGTCGGACTAAGCTTATATACCATAATCAACATTTCTTGTCAAGAAAATGATAGGAAATTGATGTTTTAAGTTGGCAGCTACCATTGTTTGAATTCATAACTTAAAAGATTATGGTGTCTGCTCAGAGGCCAACACCAGCGCCCGGGCGGTCGCATGCTTAAGCTTAAGCCTTAGGCATCGACGTAGGTCCGCGAGGCAGATGTTGGGGGCTAAGGTACCACATGCCCCGCCCCTTGGCCAACATGTTGTGCGACGTGGACTTAGCTGGCACTTTCCTATCGTTGACTCGAATGTATGTGCCACACCCCTCCATTGGGCAGGGGAGTATAATGTTGAGTCGAACTCGAGGTGGGCTTGTTGGGCTATGGCTACTTGGTCCCTCGGGTTTTTTTTTCCCTCAAAAAAAAGATCATATGAGTACACAACATTACAATTTTTTTATC